GAGCAGCTATCTTCTTTGGAAACATCAAGTTGTGTTGATAGTCGATGGCTATGGATTAACAAGTTTTCTTTCCTGTGATGCAGTTTTACCAGATGAGTATGTTGCAAGTGTGTTTGGTCAGACTGAGGTTAATCCAGCTTTCTTGATTCATAAGCAGTAAGATAAATTGATAGTCTCTTGGTTGCTCACCACGATTGGGACTGAAGTTCTTCCTCATCTTATTGGCCTTACAATAACCTTCTCTATATGGTCTGGTGTTTCTCGGTTGTTTAGTGCTCGATCTACTACCAAGATCTCAGCCCTTAGGCATAGTTTGAATACTCAAAGAAAGTCTAGGTTGACTATTAGTGAGTATCTTGCAAAGATTAAGTCTATATGTGATTTACTTAATGCATATGGTAGTGTTGTTACTGAGCAAGAACATGTAAGTGTTGTTCTTGCTGGTCTCTCGATGGAGTTTGAGTCGATCATTTCTATTGCGTCTCGTGAGAGTCTATCTTTAGAAATTCTGACTGACTTGTTAATGGATTGTGAGGCTCGATAGAAAGTGTTATTGAATGAAGGGGTTGCGGCTAACTTGACATGTTTACCTAAGGAGGTAAATAACGTTGAAGTGGATACTAAAGAGAGTAATGCATCACAACTGCGTTCAGGTCAAAATCGGGATCAGTAAGGTGGTGGTTATCGTGGTCGAGTCCGAGGACGGAGTTCAAACAGACCTCAATGCCAGTTGTGTTGTAAGTTTGGCCATGTGGTGCAAAAGTACTATCACTGCTTTGATCGTGACTTTACTGGTGTAACTGGAGGTGAGGAGCAAACTGGTGATGTCCAGAAACAGTTTGCTCAAATAAATCCAATCAAACAACAATCTGGAGGGTAAGTGTTCGCACATACGATTCAGCCTTTCTTGCTCATTCCTCATCCATTTGTTCCTTATTCATACTCACCAGTGTTAACTTGGCTGGTCCTGGTATACCAGGAATGACTAGTATGCCTCATGTCCCATGATACTATCAATTTCCTGTACTTTATGGGCAACCACCTTTTATTTCCATGGCTCCTACAATGTTCAACTCTTCTGTTGCTCCTAGTTTAACTCGCTCCTCAATACCTCCAGAAGCTACTTGGTATCCCGATAAAGGTGCTACGCATCATGTCTCAAATGATCTATCAGTCTTTGACTCAGGTACTGTTTATACTTGTGTGAATACCTTACACATGGGAAACAGTAAGGGGGTCAAAATCGATCATATTGGTTGAGGTTTCTTACCTACGAGTCAGAAACCCTTAGTTTTACAAAACATGGTGCATGTCCCTAATATTAAGAAGAAACTATTATTTATCTCACAGTTCACGCGCGATAATAACATTTTTCTTGAGTTTCATGCTTCTGAGTATTTTGTAAAGGATACTCAGACCAGGACGTTTCTTCTTCGAGGGCTATATCAGCTATTGCCATATGATGGTCAGCATTCTTGTGACAAGCATGAGGCATGATTTCTAGTCCACAATGTTTCTAGTTTGCAGGATGCGTTGAAACTGTGGCATATAAGGCTAGGTCATCTTTCTTTGGATGTGGTTCTTTCTGTTATGAAGTCTTGTAATATCCCTTCAAATAAATCTAAATTCACTCATGTTTGTACTGCTTGCATGCAATGAAAAGCACACAAATTGTCTTTTTGTAAGTCTTTGACTGAATACAATGAGCCTTTTTAATTGATTATGTATGATGTTTGGGGACATGCACCAGTTGTTTCTTCAGATGGCCTTGCTTACTATGTTTCATTCATCGATGTTTTTAGTCGATATTAGGCTTTCAGGTCTTGGTTTAGAACGAATAGGGTTTTGCATCGTATATCCTGCCCTGACACTTCTGAACAGAATGGTAAAGATGAGAGGAAGCATAGGCATGTTGTTGAAATGAGCCTTGCTATGTTGTCTCAACCCTCGTTGCCATTAAAGTTCTAGAGCTATACTTTTGTGTCAACTATATATCTGATAAACAGACTTCCTAAGAGTGTTCTGAGTGGTCGATCTCCATTTGAAGTTCTTTATAAACAATCTCCAGATTACTCTCTTATTTGTGTATTTGGCAGTGCTTGTTTTCATTGTTTACGTACCTTTAATCAGCATAAACTGCAAGTTCGTTCTAAAAAATGTGTATTTTTTGTTATAGTTTCTCTTATAAAGGATACAGGTGCTTGGATGATTCAGGCAAGGTCATTCTCTCTCGGCATGTTGTTTTTGACGATGAGGAGTTTCCTTATAAGAAAACGAGGTGTGTTGATTGCTTGTGTACTTGAGGTAAGTTTGATGTAACCACTGGTGTGATGCCAGTTGTTGTTCCTCATATTGCTAATGGCTCTACTCGTGATGTTAGCCATAGTGAGGAAGTAGTTGTTACATCGAATAATGAAGAAGTAGTTCCTTGTAATGATGTTAGTTCTCCTGCACCTTCTGTGATTCCAGAATATGTGGAACCACCTAGTACAATCCTTCATACAGCTTCTGTATTCAGAACATGTGGAACATTTATCTGATGTACATGAGCATGTACCCTCAGTTGTTGAGCCTGTTTTAAGGCCAGTACCTGCTTCAGAGGACAGTATACCTATTTTAGGTGATCTTCAACCTACTCCTTAAAATTTTCATCCCATGCTTACGAGAGGAAAAAATGGGATTTGAAAACCGAAGGCACTTCAGGTTGCCTGTCTAGACAAGGAACCCTATTCCATTAAGGAGGCCATGCATAGTCCTCACTAGGCTAAAGCTGTGCAAGAAGAATATGAAGCTTTGATGAAGAATGTCTCTTCCAAAGGGACGACAAGCAGTTCACTACAAGTGGATCTTCAAGGTGAAAAGAAAACCAGATGGGACTGTGTCTCGTTACAAGGCTCGTCTCGTAGCCAAAGAGTTCCTTCAGCATGCTAAAGTTGATTTTCATGAAGTGTTTAGTCCAGTGGTTAAGCCAACCATTGTTCATGTAATTATCTCTCTTGCCTCATCCAATGATGGCAGCTTCGCTAAGTTGACATCAACAATGCATTTCTGAATGGGGTGCTGACTGAAGAAGTTTACATGAAGCAGCCGTCTGGGTATGAACAAGGAAATGAAGGGTTGGTGTGCAAACTTAATAAAGCTATCTATGGCCTGAAACAAGCTCCTCGAGTCTGGTTTGACAGTCTTCGAATGTATTTGATTTTGGTGGGATTTGTTTTGGTACGATCGGATTCGTCATTGTTTGTTCGAAAGATTGCTGATAGCATAGTGTATATTCTAGTTTATGTTGATGACATAATCTTAACATGGATTAATGCAAATGAAGTTAAAAGGGTGATCAATGATTTGAACAAACAATTCTCCTTGAAAGATCTTGGTTCCCTTATTTTTTTTAGGCATTGAAGTGTGCTATGATACTGATGGATTAGTCTTAAGCCAAAATAAATACATTCGTGAATTATTAGGGAGATATGGCTTCGGTGATGCAAGAGAGCTCCCTACTCCTATGGTTTCTACAAGCAGGCTTTCAGCAAATGGCGGTGAGCTCATTAAAAATGGTGCTGAGTATCGCAGTATAGTGGGTGCTCTTCAATATGTGGTAGTAACTCGTCCTAATATTGCTTACTCAGTAAATAGGGTCTGTCAATTTATGCAGACACCATGTGATATACACTTTCAGACAGTCAAGAGGATCTTGCGTTATCTTCAAGGCTCTGTTGACTATGGGTTACGGTTTACTTCATCATCAAGACTATCGTTAACTGGTTTTGCTGATGCCACGTAGGCCTCTGATGTTGATGATAAATGATCCACTTCGGGGTTTTGTATCTATTTTGGAGGGAATCTTATTGCATGGAGCTCTCGTAAGCAGCAAGTCGTTGCACGTTCTATTATTGAGGCTGAATATAGGAGCGTTGCTTCTACTGCTGCTGATTTGGTGTGGATTATGGCCTTGCTTAAGGAGCTGCATGTTGCTGTGCATGGTCGAGCAACCTTGTGGTGTGACAATAGGAGTGTTGTAGCTGTTTGTGCTAATCCTGTGCTTCATTTAAAATTCAAGCATGTTGAGCTCGATTTATTTTTTTGTTCGTGAAATGGTGGATGCTGGAAAACTGCAGGTGCATGAAGTTCCAGCCTATGAACAAGTTGTTGATGTGTTGACAAAGCCACTCTCAGCACCTATGTTTGTAAAACATCGTCAAAGACTCTTAGTTACTCAGTTGTTTAGAAGGTTGGAGAGCATAGGGAATGTTGATCCTTAATATGTTATTTAGAAGGTTGGAGAGCATAGGGAATGTTGATATTCAATCAATCTGCTGTTTAGAAGTCAGGAAAGCATTGGGAATGTTGAGGTTGATGGAAATACAGAAGATGGGTGAATGTAATAGGTTTCTATTAGGTTATGAGTTAGTTAGCATTAGGTTGTTGAGTTTCTTTTATGAAGTTGTTAGGCTTATGTTATAGTTGGTTATATGTGTTCATAAAGCTATAAGTAAGCTTAGTTGTAACAGCAGAAGTATCTTTCTCATTAATAAGGTTTAGATAGCCTATTCTCTCTTATCTCCTTTCTTTACTCATTGAGTTGTGTTCGTGAACCTTGACAAATAATCCCTTAATTACTAAAGTCGCTTAATTCGTACTGAATTTTGAGTTTATATACATAATAAGTCTTTATATTTTTTCTTAAAATATTCTAATATTTCTATCCGTTAATATTTAGTTCTGATTCTTGAACTTAGTTGACAAAGCTGATTCCACACAGTCAGCTACCACAACCTTTTGATTTGCTTCGTCTTTTGTTTGTTCAGTGCGTCGCTTTATTACTATTTTTAAACCATATTCTTACCCTAAGTTGCCTTGCTCTTTTGCTTTTTGTTTAATATGCATCAACAAATGACAACAAAATCTGACGAGGAAAGTAGCTAATTTTGATACCATGTTTAAATTTGATCACATTTTGATCGCATATGATACAATTCACCGAAAAAGGGGAAAAAAAGAGACTAAGCTAATTTACCTATAGCTATGTATGAAACCTTGACGATTTAACGGTTGTATGGTCACAATAGTTTCTCGCTGCGGAGTTGGATCCGACGAGCTCGCACTTGCTTGGCTACACCCAACAATCTTTTCGCATGTCTCGATGAGGCACTGCCTGCATTTAGGACAAGATGAATGGGAGCTCAGCCACTTATCGATGCATCGAACATGGAAACCATGGTTGCACTTGGGCAGAAGCCGCAAGCGCTCACCAGGAGTGAAATCCGAAAGACAAATGACACACTCGGAGTCCAACCCCGGCAGCTTCAACTCGGTCGAATAGTTTACGGTCGGAAATGTCTTCAATGCTTTTCGCTTGACCCCTTTGTTTGCTAACCTAGCTGAGGTATTACTGCCTCCGGGTTCCGAGGCACGTAAACTCCAGCACCTCAACGCGCACCTAATCATGGAACTGAGTCCAAGTGAGCAGATAAAGGCACAGAAGAGGACCGACAGAACCACGATAACAATGTTTCCATCGACGCTGTTGTTAGCAGCAGTGGTGTAAGTGTCTGAAGAATTGTGGTGGTTTTCAGGGTTTGGTTGTGACAGCAGCAACCTTCTAGAGTAGTGGAATTGAACAAGTTGAGTGGATATGAAAATGGACATATCTCGGAAAAGTTAGGGATTTGAGTTTGCATTTTGAGGCTTATGATCATCTTATAAGAAATATATACACACATAGTTACTACTCCACTGAGTTTCTAAGTTAACTGGAATTTCTCATCAGATTGGATCCATCAATCGTCCCACCTATTGTGATGTAAAGGTGGTGGCCACGTGGCAGTTTGGCTTTATCGACCCTATCTGCTGGACCCATTTTCAGCATTTTTGCAAGAGACAGGATGGAGGCATGAAGCTTCCCTATACATCATCAGCAGTGCAGTGGCCATTAATTTTAAGCTTTGTCAGGATAGAGATCTTAAAAGAAAATTTAATTTTAATAATAATAATAATTTTTGTTGTAGTGTATTCAACACTTGTTTTGAGTCAGACTCGACTCAAATCTTTGAATTCTATTCCGCATAAAGCACATGTATTATTTGTCAGTAGATAGTCACGGAATTCAGTGACGCATACAATTTAGTGACAGAGAGCAATAACCTTTTATATATAGGGATGAATCTAGAAATGATGAGTTAGATGTTGAGAAAAATAAATAAAATATTATAGATAAAAAGAAAATGTTGGAAAAACTACATTAAATTAATAATTTATAGGAGGATGAAATGTAATTTCTATATTTTAAATAAGAATCACTGCTTTTCACCTTAGATGTTTACATATAATAATTTTTTACTATATGTGGATTATAGTTGGGGGAAAAACACAGATTTGGAAAAGGTAATTTGATTGTGTTCAACTGAAATACCAACAAGAAAAAAGAGATAAAGACTTTGTTGGTACATAATCTAGATGAGTATGGTTGGTGATAGTTTATACAATGCTATGAGAGTTGTACCTCTGCCAAGTATCTTTGTACGTTACATCCGTTCTATATCTCAAAGCTACAAGGAAATAATTTTTTTTTGAAAGAGCACCTTTAGAGAAGAAATTTCGAGGACTCCGAAAGACGTGAAAAAATCGTCTTTGATGGAAGAATTTTAAATGTTTAACATCCTTCGAGAAGTCACAATAAGACTTCTTACAGACCCACGTAATATACCATAACTAAATTCACCGTCACTGATCGTAATCATCTAGCCTGTCGGTTTATGAGTAGCCATCATATCTCTACATTTGACACCAAAACTCAGAATCACTATAAAATATCTCAACTGAAATTGAAGAGGCCACTTGGATGGAACCACCCCACCTTCACTTACTTCTCTATTATGTCATCATGGAGACAAGAAATATTAACAATGATTAACGGTCGTTCTTTTATCGTTGTTTTTTTCCGCCCAAATAATAGGGGTGAGCCGCCTATACTCGTCGCAACTCATTTGTCCAATCAACAAATATAAAACACCAAAGTCTAGAAGATGAGGGAGATGAGCGAAAGCCTGTTTTGTTTCATTCGTTTCAAGTCGTCTTCATTTCTCAAAATGTATTGAAATGAGACTAAAAATATTTTTGGAGATTTTTTTAAAATAACGAGGGTTCCACTTTTGATTATTTCGTCTTTTGAGGTACACAACTGATGATTTTCTGAAAGGAGATGTTCCATGCTCATCGTATCATTTGTGAACAATAAATAAAAAATTTAAAGAATCGTATATTATTTTATTGTTAGATTAAGATTAGAGAAGATTAAGAGTTAAATAATATTTAATAAATTGAAGAATTAGATTTTAAAAATGAGAGATAAAATTGAAAAAAAATTAAAGATACTCGATTACCCATATAGAAAGTGGGTACTACCGTAAAGTCCGCTCTAATTATTCATATATGGGTAAATTACAAATTTTCTCACTGGATTTTATATATTGTATACGCAAAGGTACGATGAGATAATTCTGTAGTCATATGTTGATTGAATCCGTTGGGCATTTTCATTTCCCCAACTGGAGAAATATGTTCTGTTTGTTGAATCCGTTGGACATTTCCATCTCTCCAATTAGAAACACAGTTCCCAAATGGAAGGCTACCCTCGAGCAAACATAAACTAGTAACTAGCGGCGGAGACAAGTGAATTTTAAGCGGATACGTGGTGATGTTGAAATTTAATTTTTTTTTTCTTTTTATGTTAATTTTTTATTATTTGATGATGTTTACTTATGATTATTCTATACAAAAAAAGTTTTATTATTAATATTTGTATCTTTAATTTTTCTTTTCTTGTGGAGATGTCACTTCTAGCAAATGGAACCAACCTCCGATGCTTGGTTTATTATCGAAATTTATACAGATTAGTATACGCAGTGTTACCTGAGGATGGAGTGGATCGCTTGTGAATAAAAAATTAAATGAGAGCATGGATTTATATTTTAAAGCCAAATGAATGATTTCCCCGTCAGAGTGGTGCAATCCTGTACAAGACGAGCATAATTTAAGCTTTACAGGAATGAAAATCTTTTTTAGATTGAGAAACAACAATATCTCCAGAGCATGATTGTAATGCATGTATTTTATTAACTTTGCAGAAGAAGAACCAATCAAGACCCCACAAGTACTGTTTTTTTCACTTTTCATCAAAATTAGATATTCCTGTCAGATCCTTCTTCCTCTTATCACTTTATTTTTTTCTCCTATAATATATGCGAGTTGAATGGTTTTAAAATTATTGAAAATACAGATTGGGATAATTAATTAAGTAGGATCAATCAGAATCCAATAGAGATATTCTTGTGGGTATGTTGGGTGAATCCTTTGGTTGTACGAAGGTGGTACGTTGACGGAATATTAAATGGAAAGTTATCCTGCAAGTTGTTGTTAGGTCTAAGGATGTTAATTTAAAGCACTTTATATACTTCCGAATTCACCTAAGACTACTTTATCTCTTTTTTTAACCTATTTTTTCAATATTTTTATATTGTTTTCTTCTTTTCCTTTAATTTTTGTTTAATTAGCAAGTATCGATAGTCCATAATTACTAGTTATCTTTTTTTTTTCATATTATACCCTTTATTTTTCTCTTTTTTCTTGAGGTTCTATTTTCAATTTTAAATAAGAATTATTATCCTTGTGACATATTTTTTTTTCTTTTGTAGCACGTGTTTTCTCTATTCTTGTAGTATGATCCTCATGACTCTTGATACATTTTTCACATACATTTACGGTCATTTTGGTGTTTGCACAAAGACTCTTACAACGTTTCATTTTTTATTGGTTTGTTGTTAGTCATGTATAGTTATTTCACATTTTTATAAAAGATTATTTGTTGATATAATTAAAATTATGTAGCGTTTATTCCTCTTCTACTGCCCTACTGCATACTACAACTAAAGCAAAAGCACCAACCCAAGACTTAGCCTAGCTACCACCGAAGCCATATGCTACATTAACTTAACCATGCTACAATAGTCACAAGGGAATGCAAAGCATACTCATACAATTTTTTTAATGCTTCTTAGCCTAGAGACAGAGTTACGGGTTTGCTTATCACTCTTTTGTCACTTCGTAAAATGTCACATTCGACATAGATAATAAATTTTTAAAAATATTATTGGATTCTTTTGATGTAGATGATCATTTTCAATAGAATGTTTCATTTTTTTCGTATGTTTGAGTTTAATATTTTATTTTTTTATAAGATTTTTGTGACTATTGTCTAATTTTCTTTTTATACTTAAGTGTATTATAATTCTGATTTTTTTATTATTTTATTAATAAAATCCAGTTACCATTCTTTAAAAAAAACTATAGTCGTGTCAATTTATACTAGGTGTATGTATTAACTTCTTTGATTAAGAAAGCCGAATTTGATTCAATAGGGGCAGAGAAAAGGCAAGTTTTAAAAGATACAATAAATAATGCTAGTTTTTTAAAATAATTCTTGGACGATGGAATCCATTTGTCTCTTGTGAAATCCTTCCATTGGCCATTGTTTGAAAATTATTAGATAAATTTGAGTTTTATATATTTTTTTACGATTAATATTTTAATAATTTATCCATTAAATTTTATGTTTCATTAATATGTATTATGTATGATCAATAATCATTTGGTCTAGTGAGATGAGACACTAGATTCTTTAAGTAAGATCAAAGGTTCAAATATTGACGTTTATGTATAGAGTAAATTAGATTAGAAGAGTTGTCTTTATCTTTTTAGTACCCGAACTCACACATGATGTGATTATAACTAACATATTTAGGATTTCTTATTACTATTAAGCCAAAACCTCATCAATTTATTGAGTTTAAATATCAAATATAAATATACGTATATGATAAAAGTATATCGCTAATAATATATATTTTTCTTTTAAATATTCACATGATTATATAAATATTTCAGAATGCAAGAATGTGTATTAAATGCAAGTATGCTATGTTTAAAATAAACTACTTTACCATAATCTGAAGTTTATATTAAGGTTTCACAGACAACATGCGTGCTCCAATGTTTCAATATTTGCGGCCACAAAAGACTCCCCGCTATCAAATGTGTATAATGCACTGATTAAATAATGTGGACATTACCAAGAACGTTGTTAAGCACCATCCAAATACTCTATTTTACGAATTTGTTAATAATATGAATTATTAGAATGTAATATATGTTTTAAAAATAATAATTATTGATAATACATACACTTTGAAAACGTATATGTTCTAATTTGAGTTACGAAGGGGTTTAGCCTAGGCTATCACACTTTCTCTTGTTGTATTCCGTTAGCAACTATCTCCGGGGTTCTAAAGAATTCTTATACTCCGTTGTTGAGTGACCAGGCGTATTTAGCGAGAGTATCAGCTACTTTATTGCCTCCACTTAATGAATTCGGCCTATTTTATGATTTAAATGAAAAATGAGTTATTTGAGATGCATTTCTATTTTATTACAAACATTATTTTAGTGCGTAAGATTTTTGTTTTTATTGTTTATTAAGTTGAAAATGTATATGTTTATTAAATGAAAAATAAGTTATTTGAGATGCATTTCTATTTTATTACAAACATTATTTTAGTGCGTGCGACCTTAGCTCCTTTTCGCCCCTCGCGATAGCTAAGTCAGCCTTACTCAAACTCGTGCTAGTGTGGGAAAGGATTGGCAAGGAAACAAAGAAGAAAGGAAATAACTTTGAAAGAAAGCTTGTTGATATGCTTGAAAGCTTACAACTCTTGGATGATTTACAAATGAGGATTCTACACCTATTTATAGCATCCCACCTCCTCAATGGACGGTGGAGATCGACTTGATCCTATGGTAGGGAGAGATTCTCTAGAATTCTCTAGAATTCTCCATAATTTCCTACCTATCATGGAAGTCTCTAGAATACTTCTAGAATACTCTACATATGTACAAGTCTTGAGTGTTCTAGAATAATCTACACTATTCTATCAACCTCCAAGACCAAATGTGGCCCAACATAGCCAAAATAGCCCAAAGTGTGGGGAAAAAGCCCAAGTTCGTGACATCCTCCCCCACCTATTTTGACGTCGTCCTCGTCGCCTCGTACGCTTTGAGATGTTCTTCGAACTGCCACAAGTCTTCAGCTAGTTCCCATGTTGCCTCAGACTCTGGTAGTTTTTTCCACTTGATTAAATATTCGGTATGCGGTGAGACTCCTCTCTTGCGGACCATCCTGCTTGTGAGCACCGTTTCAACCTCTTTGTCGTAAGACTTGGTTACTACGGGAGGTGCTCGATGTGAATACCCTCGGCTTGGGTCTTCCTTGTCGGCATGATATGGCTTGAGCATACTTACATGGAAGACCGGATGAATCTTAAGTGTACTTGGCAAGTCTAAGCGATAAGACACTTTACCCACCTTGGCAAGTACCTGGAACAGTCCCTTATATCTCCATATTAGTCCTTTGTGAACGCTTCGGAGAGCTTTGAACTGTTGTGGCAAAAGCTTCACAAGGACTAAGTCTCTAACGGAGAACTCTCGATGTCGCCTCTTCTCGTCCGCCCACTTCTTCATATTCTTCCTCGCTTTCTCTAAACATGTGCGGGCGATGTCGGCGTTCTCCTCCCATGACTTAGCCATCTTGGTGGCTCCGGGACTTTTGCCTTCGTCAGGTGGTATTGTCAATGTGTGCGGTATAAGCGGTTGTTGTCCGGTCGCAAGCTCGAACGGACTTCGGCCTGGGCTTCACTCTGCTGCAGGTTATAAGAGAATTGGGCGACGTCTAGAAACTTTGCCCAATCTCGCTGGTTGACACTCACAAAGTACCGCAAATAACACTCCAACAAAGCGTTCACCCGTTCGATCTGCCCATCAGTTTGAGGGTGAAAGCTTGTGGAGAAATTTAACTCGCCAAGGAGCTTGAATAATTTCGTCCATAGGCGTCCGGTAAATCGAGGGTCTCGATCACTGATGATGCTCCTTGGTAAGCCCCAATGCTTCACGACGTTCTTAAAGAACGCTCGTGCGACCTCCTCCGCAGTGCAATCCTTGGGGCATGGTATGAAATTCCCATACTTGGAAAATCGGTCCACGACGACCATGATCGAACCGTATCCCTCGAACTTGGGTATTGCACTAATGAAATCCAAGGTGATCGAATCCTAAGGTCTTTGGGGAACTGGTAAAGGTTCTAGTAATCCCATCGGTTGTCGGTTCTCCACTTTATCTTGTTGGCACACAAGACAAGTCTTCACGTAAAGCTCCACGCTATCCTTCATATGGGGCCAAAAGTATGTTGTCTCTAGCAATGCCACAGTGCATTTTTGACACGGATGACCAACCTACTTGGTGTCGTGACACTCTTTGATAAAATCTCGCCTTAAGTTGTTCCACTTTGGGACATAGATTCGCCGTCCCTTGGTGTAGAGTAGACCTTCCTCTACCCAGAACCGTTGGGTTTTGCCATCGTTAGCCAGCTTTACTAATTCTCTTGTCATTGGATCCTGCTCAAGGCCCTCCTTGATGCGCCCCAACACGGTTCCCTTAGCTAGAGAGATTGCGGAGAGCTTCGCCTTTTGACTTAAGGCATCGGATACAACGTTGGCTTTGCCCGGCTTGTATTCCAACGTGTAGTCGAACTCGGCTAGGAAGTCCTGCCACCTGGCTTGTTTTGGTGACAGCTTCTTCTAAGTTTGAAAATAACTTGTCGCCACATTGTCGGCCTTGATGGTGAAGTGTGCGCCGAGTAAGTAATGTCTCCACACCCGCAAGCAATGGATGATGGCCATCATCTCATTCTCTTGCACCGTGTACCGTCTCTCGGTGTCGTTCAGCTTGCGGCTCTCAAATACTATCGGATGTCCCTCTTGCATTAGTACACCCCCGATAGCGAAGTCAGATGCATCGGTATGCACCTCGAACGGCCTGGTAAAGTTGGGTAAGGCCAATACAGGTTATTGGCTAACTGCTGCCTTCAGGTCCTCAAAGGCCTTCTGACATTATTCGGACCACTCCCATGCCTTCCCCTTTTTGAGTAGGTCTTTTAATGGTGATGCTCACACCAAATAACCCTGTATAAACCGACGATAATAATTTACTAGACCAAGGAAGGACCTCATCTCACTCACCTTGGTCGGCGGCTCCCACTCGGTTATGGCCTTGATTTTGTTCCCGTCCATTAATAGCTTCCCGTGACCGATTACATGTCCAAGGAAGTGTAATTCCTCAGTGGCAAAAGTGCACTTTTCCTTCTTGACGTACAACTCGTTCTCTCGAAGTATCTTGAACACAATCCTCAAGTGGTCTATATACTTCTCCATGCAGTTACTATATACCACGATATCGTCCAAGTACACCACCATGAACTGGTCCAAGTACAGTTGGAAGAGCTTGTTCATAAGCATGTAAAACATCGTCGGTGCATTGGTTAGACCAAAGGACATGATCAACCACTCATACGATCCGTATCAGGTGATGCATGCGGTCTTTGGCTCGTCGCTTTCTGCAATTCAAACTTGGTAGTAGCCTTTTTGCAAGTCCATCTTCGTGACACCTTGGCTCCTCCAAGTCTGTCAAATAAATCGGTAATCAAAGGAATCAGGTAGCGGTTCTTAATTGTTACCTTGTTAAGTGCCCGGTAGTCGACACACATGCGTAACGACCCATCGTGCTTCTTCTGGAAGAGTACCGGTACGCCATACGGTGCCTTCGAAGGTCGAATCTTTCCCGTATCGATTAGCTCTTTGAGTTGCCTTCGAAATTCCTCAAGTTCGGGTGGGGCCATTCGGTATGGTGCCAGGGCAGGCGGCTTGGCACCGGGTTCTAACTCGATCTTGTGATCCACCTCACGCCTTGGTGGAAGTTTATTTGGTAACTCAGGCGGCATCACGTCCTTGTTCTCCTCTAAGACTTCATGGATGATTGGTGGTAGGTCATCCGTTTTCTCGATCTCGTCATCTTCTTTTAGCATGGCCAAATAAGTCATGGCCCCTTTCTTGATGCCTCTACCAAGTTGTATGGCCGAGAGTTATTTAGCATCTCGACCTTGCTCTTTCGGTGCCTCGACCGTGGGGATCATGCATGGAGACCCTTTCTCCAAGATACAAACTGAACTAAAGGAATGCATAGGGATAGCGATTACCTGTCGGAGAAAGTCCAACCCCAAAATAACCTTAAAGTCATCAATGAGAACGACTGAAAAGTTCACTTGGCCCTTCCAAATGCCTAAGCGTAGCTCGACCCCTCGTGTCACGCCATGGAGTAGTATCGCTTGTGCATTTGCCGTCTTGAGCCATCATGTGCTCCCAGTGTACTTTAGGCCCAAATGGTTGGCTTCGTCTATAGACACGAAATTGTGGGTAGCCCCCGTGTCCACCATAGCTCTTGTCATCTTCTCGTTGATCACTGCTTCCACATACATGAGCCCATTACTCAGTGTTGGTGTCAACGACTTGGCCTTCAAGGCGTTTAGAACTTGGAGCGACCCCATCTCAGCTTGAGACTCTCTGTCTTGACGATCGACGATGGCGGACAATGAACCAAGTTTGGGATAATTACTCATCGGATGCGGCCCTTTACACAAGAAGCATCATCCTTTAAGAACGAAGGCCTTTTTCTTCTCTTCATAGTCCCTTCGACCCGGACTTCGATCTCGATCTCCCTCTTTAGCTTGTGGCCTTCGGTGATCTCGATCTCGGTTGCCTTGGTTGTTCTCCCGCCGTTCTCCCCCACATTTGGCTGGATACTTATCCTTATTTTTCGTCGCATTGGTGTGAGAGTAGGGTTGGAAGTCGATGAGTGACTCGGCGATGGCAATGGCCTCATCAACCATTCTAATGTCCCGACGATGTATCTCTTGCTTTGCCCATCCTTGTAGCCCGTCAATGAAATAGAACAAGAGATCGTCTTCGGACATATTGGGGATTTGAAGCATAAGGGTTGTGAATTCTTTTACATAGTCCCGTATAATACCCCGCTGCTTCAACTCCCGCAATTTCTTGCGTGCCTCGTAGACCACATTCTCGGGATAGAAGTACTTCTTGAGTTCTTTCTTGAACTCATCCCATGTATCTAACCGACAAGCCCCTCGCTCTATGTCGGTATGTTTCCTACGCCACCATAACATAGCAGTATCTGAAAGATATAATGCAGCGGTCTTTACCTTGGCGGCCTCGTCGTTAAGGTCGATTCCCTCGAAGTATTGCTCCACCCGCCATAGGTAGTTTTCGACTTCCTTAGCGTCCCTTGTCCCGTTGAACCCTTGCGGATTGGGGCACTCAACCCTCGGGGTGGAGACAGTGATGTTAGCACCCCCGCTAACGGCAACTCTCTTACAAAGCGTCAAGTCTTCCCGCATCCCTTCAATGCTTTCACGTAAGGCTTGGATCATATCCTCTAGCCGTACGAACCGAGCTTCCACCTCGTTCCTGGTCTCTTCGGCACTCCCCTTGAGCGTGTCAACCTGCTCCAAGACATGGTCCTCCAACGTCTTGAAGTCGTGCTGGACCCTCTCTAGCCTCTCACCGAACTCTGCCACCACCGGTTATAAGGAAGCGCCCTCGCGGGCCTTACTTTGGTCTCTGTTCTTCTTCTGGTTGGTGGGTGCAGCTTCTCTCCCACGTTCCTCAGTAAAAGTCGACTCATTTGGGTTCTCGATGTTCTTCTTGGGGTTGGTGGGTACAGCTTTTTTCCCACGTCCCTCAGCAACAGTCGACTCGTTCGAGTTCTCGGCCATTCCTACAAGACACGTACACAATATTGATGCCTTAACCGGCTCTGATACCAACTGTCACAGACTTAATCTCTTAATAAGCCTCGTGCGGCCTTAGCTCCTTTTCGCCCCTCGCGATAACTAAGTCAGCCTCGCTCAAACTCGTGCTAGTGTGGGAAAGGATTGGCAAGGAAACAAAGAAGAAAGGAAAGAACTTTGAAAGAAAGCTTGTTGATATGCTTGAAAGCTTACAACTCTTGGATGATTTACAAATGAGGATTCTACATCTATTTATAGCATCCCACCTCCTCAATAGACGGTAGAGATCGACTTGATCCTACGGTAGGGAGAGATTCTCTAGAATTCTCTATAATTTCCTACCTAACATGGAAGTCTCTAGAATGCTTCTAGAATACTCTACATATGTACAAGTCTTGAGTGTTGATAGAATAATCTACACTATTCTATCAACCTCCAAGACCAAATGTGTCCCAACATAGCCAAAATAACCCAAAGTGTGGGGAAAAAGCCCAAGTTCGTGACACTAGGCTATCACACTTTCTCTTGTTGTATTCCGCCAGCAACTATCTCTGGGGTTCTGAAGAATTCTTATACTCCGCTGTTGAGTGACCAGGCGTATTTAGCGAGAGTATCAGCTACTTTATTGCCTCCACTTAATGAATCCGGCCTATGCTATGATTTAAATAAAAAATGAGTTATTTGAGATGCATTTCTATTTTATCACAAACATTATTTTAGTGCGTGATATTTTTGTTTTTATTGTTTATTAAGTTGCAATTCAAATAGCTTAGAAAAATAGTTATAAGAACGCATTGAGTATTTTTAGTGATAATAAAAAAATATTGTTATTCTTAAAAGTCTCAAATTCAAACAGTTACGTTTACAGGACATGCGTACGTTTTACATCAATTAATTGAGAAAATTTCAAATAAATACTCCTTTATAATTATCTTATTCTAATAAAAAAATAATCATAATATTAATCGCTCTCTAAAAGAAATAGACATTCAATAATCAAAAGCGAAAAAAAGGAAAGAAGCTAAAAGAGGTTCCTAAGCCAATGATCTAGAGCTTTGAAATTAAGCAAACCAAATAATTAGATATAAGAAAGGTGGTAGAAACATGAATTGCAATCATGAAACATCCAGCGTGTTACAAATTAATTTTCCTGTCGTTTTACTTCTCTTCTCGCTTTTCGTTCGAACGTGTCGTTTGTTGATAAAGTGAAAGGGGAAAGCCACAAGAAAAAGGTAAGAAAAAGTTATTAATAAAGCGTTAAGGGTACAGTGTCCAAAGAATAAAGGACAAAAAGGAGGCAATGATACCATTTGGAAAGAACAAAAAGCACCATCCAATAGTTAAGTAAAATACATGCACTAGTGTATACCATAATTTTGTTTTCTCGAGTTTGGACATCTAATGGCATGCACTTTCCTCTAAACTTTTTAACTCATAAACTACAAAATCTGTTCAATTTAATCCCTTATTTATCTTATTTTAAGCTATATCAAAATACCAAAATAAAAATAATAATAATTCTTTTTCTCTACTTTATTCATCTCTGTTTAGTTAAAATTTATAAACAAACACAGAAAAAAGAGAGAAAAATACCAAAAATTCATTGACGACTTTTATACCGATAAGCCCAAAACTTTTCACCTTGAAATTGAACTTTCTTTGTGACAGTGTAAAGTGCTTCTAAACTATTCATGTCCATCGCTTCTTTTAATGATACTTTCTCTCTACCATTGCCACATCGCATTTCCCTTGTGCAAGATCACTGGATTTTTCTCGATTAATTTTTAACAATTTTCAACTCAAATAACAACACTTTGTTCCTTGCAATTTCGTCACCATAAAATTCTATTGCATTTACTTAGTTATCTGTTCCACTAATCGTAGGCTTTTCATATTAATCCAGTTCAGCTAACTTGATATGTAAGAGTTTTTTAGTTTTATTAATGACATCAACATGCGTAATAAAAATTAACATGACATCAATGAGATAGCGGCTCTTCAGTGTGAAAATGATGGATGTTGATGACTTCTTCGTTGTTCTGTATAAGCTGCTACATGTTTGAAATTAATTACTGTTCACATTTCATGCTCTTTACATTATCTATTGTTTCTGTATATTTTAATCCCAGCATGCCTTGTGGTGCTCAACATATAATTAGGTTTTTGATATTGATGAAAGGCCAATTTAACTTTCCAGCAGCTAAAAAAGTACCACGCAGTAGTTTCCACACATTGTTTCTCTCCATGGAAAATCTAGTCACAACTCACAAGCCGGTAGCCATGTTATCTGGATTTGATAAGTCTCATATGAAGACAGATTCAAGATGAAATATTAGGGGTGAACATAAATAATAATATAATATGAGTTAAAATCATTTATTACACCATCAACTTCAAAATTAAAAATTGAGGATTAGATTTTAATTTTAAAATTAATAAAGGATTTAAAAATATTTAAATAAAAAATAATGATGAAGATTAATTTGTTTAATTTAAAAAATAGACCAATACTTAATTTATTTAATTTTAAATTTAATAAATCTTTAAAACTAAATCAATAACAAAACATAATTTTAAGGTCAATAAAAAGTTAGATAAAATATACAAATGGTCCCTTGACTATAGGTGTTGCTTTGTTAAGTCATTCGACTATTAAAAGTTACAAAATGATCATCCGACTATTCATATATTTCAAACTCGTCCTTTTTCGTAAAAAAAAAAACTAGCGATTGTCTGAGTTGGACGTTAATCTGTTGGCTATGATATGATAAAATCATATTTTAATAATGTTTATTGGCAACGTTGTTACTTTTAAGCACTAGCTCAACGACATAATGTTTCAAGCATTGGTTCGACGATATAATATAAATGGAGAGTTAATCCACAAAATACAATTCAAACAGTTCTAGGATTATATTTTGTCGTATCTCAATCAAAATGGTAACGTCCAGCTCAAATAATCACTAATTTTTTTAATAGAAAAGGACGAGTTTAGAGCATATGACTAGTCGAGTGACTATTTTGTATCTCTTAATAGTCAAGGGACTCAAAAGAAACATCTTATAATCCGGGGACCATTTTATGACTTTTAATAATCGGAAGAAGAAATGTCCTATAATTAGGGACCATTTATGTACTTAAATAAACATTAAAACTTGGGGCATGCTCCTCTAACAGTTTATATATAGCAGCTACAAGATGGATCGAAGAGATATCAAAGATGTTGCACCTTTAAAAATTTTAAGTTCTATTATAATTTTTATTTTTTATTGCTTGTCTAGTTGTGCACTCCTAAAAAATTTTAGTTTTACACCCCTAAAATTTTAATATAACGTATTAAATTCACATCTCTAACATAAATTTATACGTTCGTTCTGACCGACTACATCTCTGATCATATGTTAATTAATCTAGTATCAAATTCCAAAACAAATAGAAATAGTAAGTAGGCCCTAGAATAATTAAGATTAAAGTGATGATCTTTCCACTTGTAATCTTGAAATGAATCCCATTCCATGTTGTGGATCAAGAATTCTGGAATCAGAGGTAAGAATTATGGGAGAAAACATACAGCATGTTGGAAATTGTTTCAAAATTTTCTTGTCGTTTTTCTTTTATTTTCTCTTTCTGTTCGAACCTGTCTTTTGTTGATAAGCTGAGAGTGGAAGGCAACAGAGAAAAGGTAACTAAAGCGATATTAATCTCTGTTTTGAAAATCGGACCGGACCGGTCGGTTCAACCGGGAATCGTTACCTAGTCCGATTCAATCTAAACCGGTTGAACCGCTACTAGTGAACCGGCCAAAACCGCTGAACCGTTTGAACCGGACCGGCTGAAAACCGGAAATTTTGTTTTTTTTTTAAAAAATTAAACCAAACGTCATTTGTTAAACGAGCCAAATCGAACTCAAGTATTGCTGAGCTCGACTCTCGAGTTCGACTCGAACTTGAAAACTTTAAAAGTAAGCTCAACTCTACTCAAACTCACAAGTTAAAAATTATCAAGTTCAACTCGAACTCGAAAATATAATATTGAAACTTGAACTCAAAAAGGCTTGAACTAAAAAAAATTTAGAATCTCAATTGAAGCCTAAAATTCGAGCTTGATTGAAGTGAAAGAATAGTTCACTCAATGCTCACCAAAAGGCTCCATGATTTTGAATGCCAAATTACCTCTATTAATTATAGAAGTTAGTTGTGATGCTCTTCTATGTTTCTTAGCAATGTGGGATTGTTTTGTTATCATATTTTTACTCTTTAGACTTTTGGGATGCTCTTCTATGTTTCTTAGCCATGTGAGATTGTTTTTAAAAAAAAATTAAACCAAACAATATCATTTTGTTATGATTTTTTTAGCCCCAAATTTATTTTTTAATTATAGTTATATAATTATATTTATTATTTAATATGTTTTACCTTAAATATTATGTTGTAGTTAATTTGAATTATTTTGTTTCACTTGATTTTATGGTTTTTAATTTATATATGTTATGACTTGCTTTGAATATGATTTGTGATATAAAAAATTATTTTTTTATTAAATATTTTTTTGTATTTTTATTTAATTTTTTAAATAATTATGACGTCGTCCGATTCTTCCGACCGGTCAAACCGGTTTGACCGGTTAAACCAATGAACCGGTAGCATGATCGGTTAGCTAACCGATCCGGTTCTGAAAACATGATATTAATCAAATGCTAAGTGTGCAATGTCCGATAATAAGACAAAAAAGAGGCAACGAGGTTAAGGTTTTGGGGCGACCAACCCTTGCATTATTTTCAATGCAATAATTAAACAATATGTGGAAAGGGAAAGAGCACCATCCAAATATTAGAAGGAAAATTTAGTTATTATTTTTTTATAACCATTCATATTTTATTTATTGATCAATTAACATATGGATGGGGTATAATCAATTTATCTCAGTAATTAAAGAAATCATTATTATTATTAGATGTCACGGGTTCGAGCACCAACGATTGTAAGAGTGATTAAATGTTCATTGTTAAACGGTTAAGAGTATTTAAAACATATAGTACTTTGTAATCAACTTTAACTTAATAAAAAAAATATGTGGAATGATATCACAAATAAATTGAATTAAGTTCAATTCCACTTTTGAAAATGACTGCAAATTCTAACCAGAGTTAATATTAATCCCTCCTTGTAATTTATTTTGCTTTTAGTTGCTTTTAACAGATATTGTGTCTCTGAGTAAAGTGGTTCTAAACTACTCATATCATGTTTATCCGTTTTCATATTTCATCACTTCCTTTTAAAAAAGCGTTTCTCTTGGCGAGATTGATCGTACGATCTGTAGAATATTTTTGATCCAATCACAGTATTCTGTTGGATTAACTTTAAAGAATTTTCAGTTCAAGGGCAAATTTAGTTCACTGTTCCACTGACTGCAACCATTTCAAAACTACCATGCCATTAATTGATATTAAACGGATAATTACCAGCCTAGTTATCCCTATAATTATGCACAATTTCTAGTTCTCTTCTATGTTCATGGCTTCCTGCGCCGGCAGAGTCTCTACCCGGCCGTAGTTATCGGTCTTCTGGTCCGTTTCAGTCAGGCAGTGCCTGCATGTAGGGCATGAAGAATGTGAACTAAGCCATATATCGATACAACGAGTATGAAATCCGTGGTTGCACTTTGGCAAAATCCGTAGACACTCCCCGGTAACAAACTCCGACAAGCATATAACACAAGCGGTGTCTAGGCCAGGCAGGTTCGAATCTGATGCGTATTTCACAATAGGGAAGGCATTCAAGGCTTTCTGCTTAACTCCTACATTGAATAACTTGGCTGAAGGAGAAGTTGAGCCCCTAATCGAACACTTGAAAAAACAAAACACCCCACAAAAGGACATGATGGTGCAAATGAGGACCAAGATAACAATGCGTTCATTTGCATGTAAGTTGTTGTTGTTGGAATAACTGTGCTGTGGAGCTGGGGAAATTGCTGGGGTTTCTATTGGGTAAAGAGAGGCATGAAGGAGAAGCTTTCTTGGATGGAAGCTTTCAAGCAACTCTTGGGAGAGATGTGGACCGGATGTTGTTGAAATTGTCATGTTTGATTTCCTAGTGTCTTTAGTTCAGATGACTGAAGGTATTGGTACCATTGAAGGATTAATATACACGAAAAAAAGTTAAAAGTAAAAGGTGGGTCAGAGCCGTTATATTTTAGGGTTATGTCAAGAGAGAGCTTAAGTCTATCTTTTGGAGGGTAAGTAGTTAACTCGAAGATTTTATTTAGGACTTTCCATAAATTCCACTATGCATCAACATCTAATCTTTTTTTAATATTGCTGAAAGGCCAATTGAACTTTCCAGCAGCCAAAGGTACTATGTGGAAGCTTCCACCCATTGTTCCTCTCCAATGGAACATCTAGTCATTGGAAGGGATAATAACAGATGAACCATTGCAGAACGAATGATGTTTTTGAAAACTAACTTAAACTGCTTCAGCTATCAAGGACATGAACTCTACGCTGTGTCATGTCTGTTTTTCATGTATGGATTTCCACTGCTGTAACAGGCGACTGTAAGCACATCCGCACAGAAATTCTGGAATCTATGCAAAAAAAAAAATAGTTGTTTAAAAAAACTTGACGAAACCAAAGCACCAAGCACAATGTTATGTACTTTACCTTTTTGAGCGTCTAAGGATCCTGAAAGGGACATTAATGGAGTTTGGTTTCTAACCAGAAAAATAGCTGCTTGATATAAAGTACAATTCACAGCTAATTTCATAGTTATCCGATCAGCTATTGGATGCTGTTATGCAGGCCAGGTTCAGGACCATAAATTAACAAATCTTTACATGCATTTTAATATATATATATGGTGGATTATCATCAGAAATCTACGGCTAGCCTGCAACTAATTGGCATAAGATATAAGTTTCCAGAACCACTTGTTCTTTAATTTGTTTATTTTGCTATCGAATCAGAGCATTATCTTTCAGCCATGCAAGTAGTCTGCTAATCTAATTTCCTGGCGCAATGGAAAGGAAGTAAAATAAATGAATCAGCTTTTACATGTGGCTACGACTAGAGCCGGATCTTGTGCGAGATCTTTTGAAAATACTGGTGCCATTTTTAATTGTCAATTTGGTACTTGATGAAAAGCAATAAAGGGTGATGATCTGAATCTGTCAGGGATACTGCAAGCCTGCAACTAATACGTGAGAACCATGTGTACAAAATGTAAAGCACTTTATAAAATGAAAACTATTATATATTTTGGATAGATAAAAGTGGGAACTCTTCTTTAGCTTTTATTATACTTTTCTATCATGTTTATATTTTCATGTACAGCTGAGAGATCAAGGATAGGCTAATTTTAAAGGTAGCCACTTGTTTTTGTTCCATATAAGATGTACCACTAAGTGAATCCATTTCCTCTGATGTGCTAAAGTTGGAGAGTGAAGACAAAAACCAATTACTGGAAATGTTTGTGCGAGAATGGCATTAGCTAGACATATACAAGTGACCAGGAAGTACTAGTCAAAAATTGAAGTGATCGTCCTCCAACATTAATACTTTTGTTTTCCAGTCCTATATGCTAAAACGTAAACAACTCTGGTTTATACGGGCATTAGTTTTACTAGTGGTGCCCTTGTTTTCAGGTGTTGGAGAGCTGATTGATCAACGTGTTTCAGAAGGTATTGCCACGGAAAACATTGGTTTTAGTTTTTTATTAAACACGCACATTAGAAGCCAAGTTTCAAGGCATTGTAGAGAAGGGAACACCAATGAAAATAACTCTTAAAAAACGTCAATAAATTGAGAAAAAAAAACTTTATTCTAAAACAACTCTTAAAATATGGCATTAATTTAATTTAGGCATCTAAATTATTTTTCATATTACATGTATCTAACATTTCTTTTATTATTTGTACTTTCATCTATTTCAATTTTTCCGTGACATGGCGTTGTTATAAAAAATCAAATGATCAAAAAATCTTAAATAAGTAGTAGAAAAATCTTTAAAAAAGTATAAAATATTTTTAAAATAACATAGTTTTAAAAATACATATTTGATATTCTTTTATTTTAACATAATTTTGATTTATATTTTTACTTTTTTTTTAAAATTAAAAATCCAAACAATTGTTAAAAGCTATAAATAGTTATTGTAATTGTCTAGATTCAATCCAAATGTTGCATTCGAATCTCAAAGGTCAGACTAATCACTGAAGTGACCCAAAATAGATCACAGACGAAAAACAAACTCATATCAAATAACGAGTTTGAAATCTTATACCATAATTTTAAAATAAAAAAATTATTATAATTTTGCAAACTCGAGATCTAAATCTTCTTATTGTTGAGTTCAATCCCTCACAATGTAGATTATTTGAAAGGAAAAAAATTAGCTAGAAAACTCAGTGCGGTCGAAGGATATAATAAATAAAATCAATAGATAAACTAGGAGAAAACATGAGACTTAAAGTATACAAAGTTATCACAATTAGTGGCGGATGTATGTATACTTTAGGTAGTAACGTGTCCACTTTGAAATTTGAATTTTTTTATGTTTGGTGTTTACTTTATTGATGGTGTTTATCCTGAAATTTTATTGGTATATACCTCATACGAAAAGTTTATATTATCAATAAATATGTGCCCACCTTAAAAAATATTTCTAGATCCACTACTGATCACAATCATTAACATACATACAAGAACAATAATATAATATATATCATCAAACAGATAAATAATTCAGAGAATACACAACGCGAAACTAACAGACACATGACGATGCAACAAAACAAGTATTAGAACACAAAATAAGTGACATATTTCGGAATACAAAATTAGGATCATAGTTGAATCATGCATACCCAGAAGTTAATATGGATAAGAGTATGCTTTTGCAAAATTTAAAACAGTGACGGAGAACATCTAATATAGAATATGATAAATTACACAAATGGTCCCCAATTATAGAGCACAGCTTTGTTGAGTCCATAATTATTAAAAGTTACAAAATGGTCATTCGACTATAGAGAGTTGCTTTATTGAGCAATTCGACTATTAAAAGTTACAAAATGATCACATGACTATCCATAAGTTCTAGACTCGTCATTTTTCGTTAAAAAATCGATAATTGTCTGAGTTGGATATTAACATGATAACTGAGATATGATAGTCGTTTGTGATTATGATATTATATTTTATTATATCCCAATTAGCATGATAACTATCGTCAAGTTTTTAATAGAAAATGACGAGTTTGGAATATATGAATAGTCATGTGACCATTTTGTAACTTTTAATAGTTGGGGGACTTAACAAAGCAACATCTTATAGTCAAAGGATAATTTTATAACTTTTAATAATCGAAAAATTCAACAAAACAATAGTTTATAGTCGTGATCATTTGTGTACTTTATCTTATAAAATATATAATAATAAACACGTTAAATGAAAATGTGAACAGAACTAGAGAACTTTAACTGTCAATCAAAAAGCAAAATAGTGCAAATATCAGTCTTGGAACATAGATTTGGAATTGATTAATGAATTTGGTTTAAATTTCTTAATTAATTCAATTAGTCCATAATTAAAAATTACTTAAAGAATTTAATTTAAAATTTTAATTAATTCAATTTAGTTCATAACTTCAAATTAGTTAATTCTTAATTAATTTAACTTTAGGCATTGTGGGGGTCAATCAACCTCCTCATCAACCCTAATGTAGACACATATCATACTTTTAAATATTCGATCGTACCTAATCCAAAAGGATATGACTCCAATCATGTGACGAACTCTTCAAAGACTTGTCACATTTGAACCACCACAAAATAACTTTGAAAAAAAGACAATGACTAAGAAGGTTCACATATAAAACCAAACATGGCCCCCTGCTCCATGGAATCGTGTTACTGTATAACGCTTCCCAAACTAAAGGGGACAAGTGTAATAGTCTCTCCCACTCCTGAGGACTTCCACTTCAAGACCACATGTGACATATACTAGACCACCTTTACAATCCAATAATTAATAGCTCATGTAATTCAATAAATTCACGTAACAAGCTCAGCCTCTTAGGCACTATGACTCGTCCTACGAACAGATGGTCACATGGAAATAATATATTCAAAGTATAATATATATCTTTTAGTATCAATGGGAGCTCTCTCGATTTCTTTCTTTAGAGACATACTCTTAGAACCCACTGTACCGCTCAATCTGACCCTCGATACAGACTTGTGGTTCTCCATCCACACTAAAAAGGACAAACCATAAAGCATCAATCTATCCATTTCATTTCTCATCGTATTTATCACCATAAACCATCCTCCCACCTTTTATACATCAACAAAATCTTATGAAATTAATAGATTAAAATAAAAGATAACTTTGTTAAATATAGCGAATGTTTTTAGCATCTTATTTTGGATGCCTTGGTTTGGTCGTGGGAGAGTATTGATAAAGTACAAATGGAGTCTCCACAATATGGTTAAAAGTTGAGTGCTCCGATTTGTCTTTGCTTTCCCTTTTCGTTTGCCCGTTGGTGCCTTTCTTATCAGCCATTTCTAACTACTCTTGCGCACTAATAATCACTTTTAACTTTATATATTCAATGTTCTGTGTATGTATATGAAAAATATTGTACATTATTTTATTAGTATAACATATGGTAGACAACAAAATATGTTAAAGACTAAAGTAATCATTAAGAATTGATATTTTTAACTCCAAAATGAGCTTCGCTCATGGAATATATCACCTTTGGAATATTACCCCCTACTATCACGTACCATACCTTCAGGTTCCAGTGGTTGAATATTCACAGTGCTCTCCGGTGAGCTACTTTGATTGCACCCCATAATTTTTTGGCATGTTTCAAGCAGACAATGCCTGCATTTGGGGCACGATGTGTGTGATTTAAGCCACTTATCGATGCAACGAACATGGAATCCATGGTTGCATTTCGGTAGGAACCGGAGGTGCTCGCCGGGCAAAAACTCCGACAGGCATATCACGCATTCCGAGTCCAGTCCCGGCAGATTCATCTCGGCCGAGTAATTCACCACCGGGAAAGTCTTGAGTGCCTTTGGCTCGATTCCTCTATCGACTATTGCAGCTGAAGGGTTGTCGATGTACTCGGAGGCCTCCCTGTTTGAGCACCTTAGCACACATCTGATTATTAAGTTTAGCCCCAATGAGCAAATTAGGCCACAAATGAGGACTGAAAGTATCATGAAAACATTTTGGTCTATATTGGTAATCTGAGGGTAAGGAGGAGGAGCCGATGTGTGCGATGATGATTGGTTTAATTGTTTGTAATAAAGCAGTAATTTCCTGGAATGAAATTTTCCGAGAAAATCTTGCAAGAACTGAGATGATGTAGAAGGTGAAGACATTGTTTCCTGGAGAGTTTGGATAAAATTTGCTTGGAAAAACAGTGAAATGGAGGAGATTATATATAGAGAAAGTTGAGAGGCTAAAGTAGTGTTCAACAGATCGTTATTGATTTTATCTTCACTTTTTGTAGATATGAGCATGAGAATCCAATGATCCTCTCTCTGTTTTCTATTCATTAATTAAATAATGGTATGTTGGTACAACTAGCTTCGGAAGAATTTTTTTTTTTTGAAAAAAAACTAATTTTCTTTCGACCTTTTATATCTGATTGAAGAATTTTCTTAATTGTAATTTATCATCTGATTAGAAAAAAAAATCAATATTTTATGAACATTAAAGTGGATATTTCAATATAAACATAATCAGCATAACCTCTATTTTCTAATGACAGGAAGAAGAAAAAAATTAAAGTATGGCCTAAGGCCCTATGGGGGATTCGAATCAAGGTCATCTAAAGAGCTTAAGAGGAACTAAACCACTGAATCAAATCTAATAATTCATTAAATTGGATTGATTTCATATATATTCTAAATTTTATATGCTTTTTTATTTTGTTTGATGGTATATATCAAAATAATATACGAACTTTAGGAAATATGCAATAATATTAACTTTGATTTTGCATAATTATGTGTATAAAATTTTAATTTAACTCGATTTTTATAAATTATTAAATTTATTATCCAAAATAGCATTATTTTATGTTTATATGTTATGTACACAAATACTTATATTTATCTAATATAAAAATAAATTTATTTATTTATTTCAGTTTACATACTTTTGGTAGTGTTGGTTAATTTAAAATTTGATCTATGATCCACAAATTTTGATAAACTTTTCAATCTTCCTTTAGGAGTTTATTAAATAAAGTTTGGATTGCTAAACTATTAGAATAGTTTGTTTCTGTTGGTTTTAAGTTAATCAAATTTTCTTTTTATTTCATTCTATATCATATTATTATTATTATTATTATTATTATTATTATTATTATTATTATTATTTAAAAAAATCATATATCTTTTACGTTCATTTTACGCTTTATTTTTTATAAAGATTTATTAATTTTTTTAACATTTATAATAATTTCTCTTAATAATATTATCTCCAAAAGTTAAACTTTTTTTTTTCAATACATTTATTATTACACCTAAGACTAATGGAATGTATTATATTATTCATTGAACATTGCTATTATAATAATATTTTGTTTTGTTTTTCATTTGGGTCCATGTTGGTTCTTATCCGATAGCAAGCAGGAAAGATGTCATGATTTTTCCAGCAATGGATCCACGCTTAGTTTAAAATTTAATTTTTTTTCAATTAATTATTTATTTTATTAGTTATATTTATTTTAAAATTGTATTTATACTCACTTCATATAAAAAAAATTCACATTAATTTTGAATCTACCACTGAATAAAAAAAAACCATGTTGCATTTGCCATGAAATCGAGTTAATTTGTGCTATTCTAGCTTGCAAGTAGACTGATAGCAATCTACTGAGTTCCGCTTAGAAAAAGAAAAAGAAAAACCTTATTGTGGCTCTAATTTAAAGCTACCAGGATCTATGAGATCTGACAAAAATCTGGGCTACTGTAATTAAGAAAGCAATAGCTTAGTTTAAGAGTATAAATATAGCATTTGTTCCTTATCCATTGTCTTTACTCGCAACATTACTTAAAAGCCATTACTAACAAGAATAATGTGCTTTTAAAATAAGATTAGTGTTATGGCTTTAAGGGTGTGTTTGGTTCACGGAATGTTAGATTATCAGTGAGAATAAAAGATTACGAGGGAATAGGATTACTGAGAATGTTATATTACTGTGTTTGATTGGTTTGGCAGGAATGTAAGATTACAATATTTGGTTGAATGAATAAAAGATTACTAGAATATATATTTTATCAAATTGTCATTGTTCTATATTTTTTAAAAAGTGAAATTCTAAATATTTAAATTAAAATTATTTATATAAAAGTTCTAACTATTAATAATATATTACTTGAGTATTTAAATATATCATGTATTATTTTAATTTTAATTAATCTTAAATTTTACATAATTTATGTAAAAATATATTAAAATTTTACATCAACATTTAACTAAATGTTTACATTATGAAAACTAGCTTCAGTTCATATGTGACGCATTCATTAAGAGGTTTTTTGTATTTTTCAATCGACAAGGTTTACATTCTTCTATATACAATAATTTATCATAGATATTAATAATAATAAAAAAATGTAAATTATTTTTGTTATCTAAGATATAATATTTATTATATCTTCTATATACAATAATTTATTTAATTTTTATGTTTATACTTAATTCTGCATTCTTTATCATTATTATTTATCTCATGAATTTATATTACAAAAACATAATTCAAATAAGTAAGAAAATAATAGTCTTGTGATATAATGCACATGTTTGATTGATTATACTATGCATCTGCTGCCCTAAGATACTTGCATAACTCTATAACATTTCCCTTTATCTTAGATGGCATTGGAATAATATATGTATTCATTGCATTAGTAACTTAATAATAGGCATATTGCTCTTAGCATTATCATTATCAATAGCGTATACATACAATAACTACAATAGTAATATTCATATCCATGTCTTTTCGTCTTCAAGAATTCAATGACCTTTCATCAGAACACTAGAAACCATCACAGAGTTCATAACAGCAATTGACATACTCAAAGCAAGCAAGAGCGGTGCAGATTTGTGACAAAACGATCGTGCATTGGTTATTCATATACGAACAAGCTTGGATAAGCACATGCAACAGCATCGATCAAGCAGGATGCTACAGTAGTTGGAACTTGGAAGCAACCTTAACCAAAATATATGCTCCTTCGGGTGACTTGGGTTCCAAAACACCCGGAGGGATATTCTTAGCCGTAGCAGTCAAGTTACCAAAGCCAACACCCATGCATCCCAGTAAAATCATCTTCTGACCAGTCGGATCTCCCTTGCTTGGCAGCTTTATTTTGTTAAATACATGCTTAGACTTACAGAAACTAAGTGAACACGAACATATTCATTTTCGGCCTAAATTATATAACAACCAATGTAAAAAAGAATAGTAAATTTATGCATAGCCTTAGGCCAGTAATTCACCACCTGTAAAAGATACATACCTCACTTACTACAGTCGAATCCGGTACTTTCTTCCCACTATCAGTCTGAAGTAAAACCAGGCGGGTATACTCCGATGGAAAACTTGTTTGCAGACTTATTTTGGCAACCTGAACCAGAAACAACACAAAAACAATGGTTAGGTGTATGTTCAGAAAGTCAATCCCCAAGACTGATGTGGCAGTTCAGAAAGGCCAAGCGTATGGAATGTGCAACAACATTCTCAAGAAGTTCAAAAAGAGAACCAAGTAAATTTTAGTTTGATAAGTTCAGTAAGATTAAATTCAAGTAGATGTAAATCATAGGTTGCTAGCAAATAAGAAGGAAAAAGGGGTAGATCTAATAAATTCAAAGAGAAAGGACATGGTTGTTTCTTGCATCAAGGAAAAGTATATGGAAATGTGGATAACAAAACATGTAAAACATAGTAGAGATTCACACTCTATCCAGAAGCATATGTAAGAACTTACAACCTTAATTTGAATTAGAAAAGGGCATGTTCTACCTTCAGATTCCATCATATTCTATCGTAGAAATTCAGGAAAAGAACTTATTTCTGTTAAGTAATTACATTGAAGCATATCAACTAAATTTATGTGTTTATGCCTTATCAATAACTTATTATTCGCAATCGCATAGACGGTTCAAGTTAGACCCAACTTCAATGTAATAGATTTCCAGTTTCGTAACTTCAACAGTTGATTACTTGGATTATTTGCGCAGAAAAGGAAAAAGAATATGCATTCTAAGCTAAACACTGAAACGTTCCAAACGCCTAAAAATATAAAAAGGTTAATAACAATTTTCCAAATGCAAAAGGAAACAGGGAGACAAAGCTATCAGTATTGCCTCCTTAAGTTACTCTTTAATGAATTGCAGCTCCTCCTTTGTCACTTGTACGTCTCTCTCTAAAAATATAAAGAAATCAAAAAAGCAATGGAAAGTTGTAGTTTAGATGTTTAAGTATCAACATCAGCATACAATGAAATACTGAGGGATTATGTAAAAACATATTCATATTTGATGCACTGTAAATACATGATTTTATATGTCATTATTTAACACCCATCAGGCATCAGTCTTTCTCCAAAGCTCAAAGTCAATACTTTTGATCCAAATGCAACATTTACTACTGTAAAAAATAACATTATGTAATGAAATGTCATTAATCAACATGCAATACCTCCTCAAAGATCGTACCTAACTCATTAATGATATCAGTAGAATATTGAGTTGGAATTGGATTCTTTGACTGCTTCAGAGCCAATTCAAACTCTTGCAATGCAATATTATCAGTAGAGTCTTGAGTTGGTACTGGATTCTTTGACTGCTTCAAAGCCAATTCAAAATCTGGCAAGTAATCTTATCAATAGAGTCTTGAGTTGGTACTGGATTCTTTGACTGCTGCAGAGTGGATTTAACCTCTTCGAATGCACTTCTAAGCCTTGTATTTTCTATAATACTTGGCTCTATCAAATTGCTCAACTTTTGCAGCATAAATAGTGGGTCATTCAGCAACTTTTTCGTCTTTTTGACTAGCTTTTTCTTTCCCTCCCGTAAAAACTGCATAATAAATTCAAAGGAGATATCTACTAAAAAATTTAGTGAAAAATATTTTTTTTTAAATTGAAGAGCAGAGAGGAAAACATTACCGTCGTCCTAATACTGTCATCACCCGTGAAATCACATATAAAATCTTCCACTGCAATCAAGCATTTCTGCATACGGAGAGCAACAAAAGAAAAGAAATAATTATAACTTTCCAAAAAAAAAAGAAGTTGATTAAAAAGAAAGATACTAGTTACCTTTACCCTTCCACGAGAAGCTCCATATTTATTTGTTTGTAGTGATTCGTTGGAATTCTCCGTATCGTCACTTGAGAATTTGAAGAAAAAAAGGTAAGAAATTAAGTAGTGGATTTGTGGGCAAAGTAAATTGGACAGAAGCGAGGTCACGGGAAGAAGAAGAGAAGAAGGGTATTTTAGTCCAAACGATCCGGGAATAAATAAAATTTATGTGATATGTGGGAATGACATTCCCAGTAAAAAGGTAAAAAAATTATTGTTGGCAATGAGATAATACCCTTAGGTGGGAATCTTTCCCATCCAAACGTGGGTATAACAATCTGGGAAAAAAAATTCCTATCAATAAATAAGAATTTCATGATCCAAACACCCCCTAAGGATAAAGTATACAATATATGCCTATCACGCTTTGGTTTAATATAGATAAGAAAGCCTAGGAATATTAAGTCTTAGGTTTAATATTGACTATATTTTGTTTGTGAAATAAACTCAAATTAATAATTTTATTTTTTTTATTTTTAATTGTATTAATTTTGTTTTTAAAATCATTTAATTTTCTTAAATTCATCCTTTAATCAACGTTGATCGTTATAATGCTGACATGACAATCAATAATGTTGATGTAGTGATATATCGTACTAAAGTGACAATCCACGTGTGAACAGTAATGTGATAGAGCAGTTGAATTGGTCAACTTCAAGGGCATATTTGATTTTAATTGAAAGTTTGATTACTTATTTAATTTTGGCTTAAATATACAAAAGGTGACAAACTTATGTTCGTTTTTTCAATTTAGTGTCTAACGTTTATCTCGTTCTAGTTTGGTGCCTAACCTTTCATTCCGTTACTCAAAATGGGTTAAATCATGACGAACCGTTAATTTATTCCGTTAAGTGACACCTATCATAATATGATAATTTTAAAAAATTTATATGAAATTAAAAAAATATATATGTTTTTTAAAAAAGGAAACACATAAATTTTGAAATAACTCCAAAACTTCGAAAACTTTCATTTCAACCCCTAAACCCACGATGACTGCCACCCTTTGCCGTTGACGAAGCTCCACCCAACCTCACCTCCCCCCGACGACCAAAACCCCTATGAAATCGTGATTGATCAACGGCCGATCGATGGCGAATCGACGTTTTATACTTCGCGAACCCAGGATGAAAATCACAATTTCAAGCGATTTCGACGGCCAATCGACAACAACTACGACGAGTTACAACTAGGATGATGACAAGAACTACATCAGTGGCAGTGGTCGCAGTCGAGATGTTTCTCTGCCCTGGAGACGGAGAGTGCAAATAGTATACCCCAGATGGTGTAACTAGTCTCGAAAAAATGAGTGTTTATCCTCTATGAATCAGATAAAACACCAAATTGTAGAGTCGCCACCAATCTTTTTATTTGGTGAGATTGGTCACCAAAGTGTCATTATTTTAATAAAAATTCCTAAGAATAATATTAAAATAATACAACTTGGGTCTGCTTTACCAGGAAAATGAGTTCGGGAGTTGGTTACGTATGAGGAAGGTTAGCACCCCCATAACGCCCAAAATTAGTACCAATATTTATTAATTAAATGTCTTTGTAGTAAATGATAAATTTGTTTTTAATTTAATTTACAAATAATTTAATATAGATAACTACTAAATAATATTAAACATAAATATTACTAGTCCTATTATAATGTTTAATAAAATTATTAAATTATGCAAATCAATAATCCTAACATAAATACTAATAGTGTAATTAATTAAATTATAAAAATATTGAAATTAATTAACTTAATTTAAAAAAACATTGTACTAATAATGTAATTTACCCTAATTTACTATATAGGTCGAAATATAAACTGATTAATATTTAGGGACTAAATGCATAATTAACCTAAATATATGTGTATATATATATATAATGAATAAAATAAAAATATTTAAAATATGAAATCAAAATTAAAAGGTACAAAAAACCTGATTTCGAGACCAAATTGAATGTTTACAAAGTTGGAGGGATCGCACGTATAGTTTACCCATGCAGAAATTACAAAGATACCCTCCCCAAAACGACGTCGTTTGAGAGAGGATATAAATTGTCTAAAACCGACCCAAACAAAGTAAACTCTCTCATTTTCTCTCTTTCCCTCTCTCTCTAAACTGAAAGATGCTATGGCATCTCTCTAAAAACCCTCGTTGGAGGTCTGTCGGTCACCGGCCGGCAACCTTGAGTCACCGTATTTTGAAGCCGCGGGCACCACCCTTGGATATCAAATGTTTCCTCTTTTTCCCCTAAACCTAGATCCGACCTTAGTTTTCCCAAAAAAGCCACTCAACGATGTAGATCTGGTTGTTTAACTTCGGTGTTTCCTCTTCTCTGGGACATGGGGAGTCGCGTGAATGCTACGATAACCTTTGATTTTGCTACTGGTTGTGGATCGTTGTAGTAGTCTTTCTCTGTCTTTCGTTTTGTATGGATTTTCTCTTCTTGTTCTCTCTCCGTGTTGCTGTTGTTGTTGTGTTCGTTGCAGGTGAGTCCTTTTATAGGGCTCGGTGGTGCATCATTTGGACCGGTCACAAGGGTGCCCTTCGGTGAGTCACCAAGGATATAGTGATGACTCACCTAGAGTGATGGGTTATACAAATGGTATTGATCTTCTGGAACCTTCAAGATAGCTCTGGAGAGGTGGTAAAGTTGTGGCAGCGCCGGATTGGAGTTGTGGAATCGGTGAGATGATAACCCTAAGGTTTCTAAGGTTTCTGTTTGGCTCGATCTGGACCCTTGATCTATGTTGGGATCGAACAGCTGTGGTGTGCTGGCGGTTGGAGATGATAAGCAGAAAACCCTAGTTATTGGTGGGGTTTCTCTCGTGTGGACTTGCTGGAATTGAGCCTGTGTGCTTTGTAATCTTGGGCTTGTGTGCCTCACTTTGTAACCGGTCCTTCGGGCTATATAAATAATAATATTTATAATATTATTAATATATATAATTATATATATATATATAATATAATTATCATCACTCGGATGAAAACTAGTGTCGACAACTGCCCCTCTTTACTTATTTTTGTGTAAACAAGAATAAAACAAAGATAAAAAGACAGGTTTTCACCGAGTGATCTTCTTACTTTGCTGGGAATTCGTTCCACTACTCTTTCGTGGAGATCAAATTTTAATTTGATCATGTTCCTGTTTCAATACTCTTCTGTGAAGGCTGAGGATGACTTGTAAATGATTTGCTTCACTACTCTTCCGTGAAGGTTGAATTTTCATGACTTCATTACTCTTTCATGAAGGCTTTATACTTTGCTGAAAAATCCATTCCACTACTCTTTCGTGGAGTTCAGATTTGCTTTTGCTTCACTACTCTTCCGTGAAGATTTCATACTTTGCTGAAAAATCTGTTCCACTACTCTTTCGTAGAGTTCAGATTTACTTTTTCTTCACTACTCTTCCATGAAGATTTCATAATTTGCTGAAAAATCATTCCACTACTTTTTCGTGGAGATCGCATTTTAATTTTGCTTCACTACTCTTCCGTGAAGATTTAAAAAAAAATCTAATTTCACTACTCTTACGTGAATATCAGATTGATTTGATTCCACTACTCTTTCTTGGAGTTTGATTACAAATGACTTGAACAAAATATGTTTCACTATTCTTCTGTGAAGTTCAGACTCAAACTTGAATTAATTCACTACTCTTTCGTGAAGGTTCCATACTTTGCTGAAAATTTCGTTCCATTACTTCTTTGTGGAGAGCGGATTTTGTTTTTACTTTTTTCTTTTGCTTCACTACTATTCCGTGAAGTTTGATACTTTGATGAAAAATCTGTTCCACTACTCTTTCGTGAAAACTGATTTTGGTCTGGTTCTTGCTTTCTTCTTCACTACTCTTTCGTGAAGTTTGAAAATGATTGACTTTACAAGAATCTAATTTCACTACTCTTCCGTGAATATCAGATTCAAAGTTGATTTTGCTTCCACTACTCTTCCATTGAGTTTGATTTGACTTGACAAAAATCATCTTGCTCGAAAGATTTTCAAATATTTCATTTTTCAAGATAACTTGTTGGTTTGGGCATGACCCAAAATTTCCTCTGTATGGATTGCGTTCATCTATACTTCAGATATTTGCTTCTCCAAACATGACTCCTGTGATTTTGATTATATCTTATATTTGTAAGGTATTTTGTTCCTGCATCTTTTTACAAAAAGTATTTATGCAAATGTAATAAAATGCACGATCTTTATGCAAATGATGTTTTTATGAATGTATGAATGCATCAATCTTCATCTGAATCCAAAGTTTGATGTTTTTTACTTGATCATTCCTTTTTTGAATAACCATCTGGTTAACTTGTATCTTTGTGTCTTCTTTTGCCTTTGGAAGAACTGTTTCATTTATGAGACTCTTGTCATACTCAAAATTATGGCCTTATTGTCCCACTTTTCTTGATAACACCAACTGTCTCTATCTGATCTTGAGTAGGAATTAAATAAAGCTTTCGTCTTTAAAAAGAGAATCTATCATCTTTGAAAAGAAAATCTATCATTCTTGCAGAATTTAGATATGAATATGCTAAACTCAACGGAGATTAATCAAGATATCGACCCTGTCTATTCTGATTTGACTCTTGAAGCACATTACAAGAAGGATTTATCCTAATTCCTTTCATGTCTCCATATCTCTTATAAAAAGGATTATCCTAATTCCTTTCATATCTTCATATCTAATCAGATTTTGAACAAAATCATTCAAACATATCATGTCAAGATGTATAACAACAACCCATTGTTAAATCTTAGTTGGTTCCACTAGTTTCTTGTTGTTAAAGTTCCAACGTTTCTTTGTGGAAGGAAATCTTCATCATATCTCATTTTTGACCTTTGGAATGTGAAGACAAATTTCATCTTGTATCAACATATAGAATGCCCCATGATCGCAACATTGGTTCAGCACCATAATTATTGGTTCGTAAAATATTTGACAACACATTCATCCTTTCATGTGGCTTCTGTTAGGATAATGTAATCACATGGTGGACAAAACAGTGATGTATAGTCAACTCGATGGTCATCGTTTCACTATTTTCATTCTTAATATCTTT